ACCCAGGCTCCCAAAAACACCAATTATTTTTAAAATATAACTATTTTAAAATATGGAATTGAAGACAGAAAAAACAGCAGCCCGCACATCAGGAACTGATCTGACAATGACAGCTGGGCCTCAGTGTGGTTAGAAGCTGGCTGATGCCACCACTGGGCCATATTATTCTCCTGTGGGACATGAGCCACTAATGCAACAATCATGCATTAGTACAGCATCCATTCCATATGTAGATGGGCCTATGGATTGAATGTAACACAGGAGACAGTCAATGATGTTGTTTCAAGATCCAGTTTGCAAATAACCTGAGAGGAGGTACAACTTGTGTAGTTTTAATATAATATCAAAGATGAATATCCATAATTATCTGAAAAGGTTATGATACATACTATTCTCCTATGGTCAAGGATGTAAATTTTTTTCATATACTTCAACCAAAACAACACAACAGATGCAGAGACAAATCTTAACGTCTAGTGGTCTACTAACGAGACAGACAAGAAAGAGACTTGCAAACTGGAAAATGAAACAAAACCAGTGTTCTCACTGCCCCTTTTATTTGGGAAAATTGTTATTTTTAATAAAAACCATATTTCAGTTTTCATATGATTACAAATGAATTTAAAAATATTTAAACCTGTTTTATTCCTACTATGGTAAATATTGATAGATATACCCACAGACACAAACTTATCCCTGGGATCCTCACTAATTTGTAAGACTGTATAGATATCCTGAGAACAAACTATTGGAGAATCAATGACTCACACAGCTCCTAGGCCACGACTCAGGGAGACAGCGTGACAAGGAGCCCTCTGTGCAGTAGATGAGGCCTAGGGGCAAAGCCCCAGGTCCCTGGGCCTGCCTCCCAGGGTCTCAGGCCCCAAGGCGGTGTCGCGTTCTGGGAAGCCCAGTGTTGGGGAATTCCCATCTGCCCTGGTTTCACCTCCCTGCCACAACGTGTGTCAGGTCTTTTTGCCTGGATACTGATGATGCGGCCTCGGTTTGTACTCCTATTGGCGACGGGTTTACCAAGAAGCCAATCCAGTGCACCGCGGTTCCGGGGTATAGTCTCTGCACTCGCCTCCGGTTCCAGCTGCGACTCACATTCTCCCCAGACCCCGAGGATGTGGGTTGTTATGCCCCGAACGCTCCTCCTGCTGCTGTCGGGGGCCCTGGCAGTGACCCAGACCTGGGCAGGTGAGTACGGGTTCGGGAGGAAAGGGACTCTGAGGGGCAGGAGCGAAGAAACCGCCCGGCGGGGAAGCGGAACCCCCGGGGAAGCCGACTGTCCACCGCCCGGACCAGACCTCCACCCGGGCCTCCCCTCCCCCGTCCCTCCCGGACTCCGTCCTGCTCTCCCCTACTCTGGTCCTCCTTCCCCTGCCCTCCCGGCCGACTCCCCCTAGGACCCGGGCCCCTCGCGGGGAGGAGGGTCGGGCGGGGTCTCAGCCCCTCCGCGCCCGCAGGCTCCCACTCCTTGAGGTATTTCCACACCGCGATGTCCCGGCCCGGCCTCGGGGAACCCCGCTTCATCGCCGTGGGCTACGTGGACGACACGCAGTTCGTGCGGTTCGACACCGACGCCCCAAATCCGAGGATGGAGCCGCGGGCGCCGTGGATGGAGCAGGTGGGGCCAGAGTATTGGGACCGGGAGACGCGGATCGCCAAGGTGCACGCAGAGATTGCCCGACCGAACCTGCAGACCGCCCTCCGCTACTACAACCAGAGCGAGTCCGGTGAGCGACGCGGGTCAGGGTCCAGGGCACGACCCCCATCCCCACGGACGGGCCGGGGTCGCCCCGAGTCTCGGTGTCTGAGCGCAGCCTCGAAGCCGCGAGACTCCCAAGTCCCCCGACCGGGGAAGAGTCCGCGGGAGCTTTTAGGGGATTTAGCTTTCGGTTTCACCTTAATCACTGCTGCTCTGGGGGCGGGGCGGGGACAGGGTCACACAGCATCCAGAGAATGCATGGCTGTGACATCGGGCCTGACGGACGCCTCCTCCGCGGGTACAGTCAGTTGGCCTACGACGGCGCGGATTACATCGCCCTGAACGAGGACCTGCGCTCCTGGACGGCGGCGGACACCGCGGCGCAGATCACACGCCGCAAGTGGGAGGTGGCCGGTGAGGCGGCGCGCTATAGGAAGTACCTGGAGGACACGTGCTTGGCGGGGCTCCGCAGGTACCTGGAGATGGGGAAGGAGACGCTGCTGCGTGCAGGTACAGGGGCTGCGGGGCCTCCCCGATCTCCCCTTCACCGGGGCTGGCTTCCCATAAGGAAGGGAAAATTTTGGACTCCGTTTCAGAACAGCTCTCCTCCCCGGGTGGGAAGAGGGACATCCGCCTCCTTGTTCATATTCCTGCTAGAGAGTGACTCACCTAGAGGGAGCTTTTCTCTCAAGGACAGACAGGAATCCACTCTCCCCAGCAGGGACTCAGGTTGAGACCATCCCTGAAATAACCCAACAGCAGTTCCCTTTGACCCTGGCAGCCACCTTATGAACCATGACCTTCCCTCTCAAGGCCTTGTTCTCCATCTGAGAACATGTTTGGAGATCTGAGTCTGCATTTGCTGAGTCATTCACCCTCCACCACAGTCAGGACCAAAGTGTGTTCCTCCCTTAGACCTGCAGCTTCCTACCGGGGTTCTCTCCCAGATTCCAGAACATAACAAGGATCAGGAGATCCCAAAGGCTAGACTGCTCTCTGGGTTTTGTGCTTCTTCCATCCAGACCAGTTGTCCTGTCCACCTCAGGATGGTCACATGGATGCAGTTTCAGTGGCCCATAAAGCTAAACCACAGTGTGGATTCTCTGATTTTTCTTCCTCAGAGTCTCCCAAAACACACGTGACCCGCCACCGGATCTCTGACCATGAGGTGACCCTGAGGTGC